TCGATATTACGAGGATGGCAAGCCTCATCGAGTTCCATATGATCATATCCTCTGACAGGGTTAGGTTTCAAGAGGATGGTCAATGGTAGCATCAGAGCTATAGAGATTAAATGTTGAAATATTGCCTCTCTTACCAGTGGTAACTGGCTTAGTGGTAGACGTACTGGCTGGTAAACCAGTAAGTCTCGGGTTCGAAACTCGGCGCGTAATTTTATCAATATATAAACGTGTGGAAAGCTAACATAAATACTTTTTTTAAACCAGTTTAAAACTGCGTGCATAATTCTGCTACATTCGGGATTCACATACTCCAGCGTACGATCCTAGCGAGATCACTTATAAAAATGTGCTCATCTTCAGTGACACGACAAGGATACCGCTGCAATTAAAAATCATTGGTTGGATGCTTCACCCCAAATCTTGTGGCGCAACCAGGAACCCAGTTTTTCTCAGATTGTGATGGAAGGTAGTGGAATATGCAAGTTCCGGTGTCATTGATTTGGCAATGGATTAATTTATTCGATAACTGAAGCAACCATGGCGATGTTACTTGTTCTGATTGACATATTCAAGAAATATTAAGCCCTCCTTGCTGTAGTGCTTCAAAATGATACAATCGTGGTGCTAGTATATATAAAAAGTTAAAATTGATTACTTGTAATAATGTCTCCATTCGGGCTCTCGCTAAGGCGCCTTATCAGGTAATAGTATACACGGCATCATTTGTAACAAATATCGTGGATTATAGCTACTTTATGAGATTTTATGAGATTCCCTGATCTATAAATACGCTGTACCAGACTTTGTAATTTATGTTTTAACCGTATGTCTTTTCAATTTGGTTAACATATGGAGATGAATATTATTAAGTGCACTAAATTTTGTAACTATTACGGAAATTCAAATATCGTGGGACAAAATTACACGTTGCCAACCCATATCTAGCTATTGTTGCTTAAAGTTACTTATTATCAGCCTGGCTAGCTACGGCGCTATGACTCAGAAATTAGGATACATATGTACTAAGTAACTACTACATACCGAGGCAGTTTGAATAGTCCAATATTTCAGTGCCAAATCCCCCCTGGGTTTTTGGACTTTGTCTATATTTTATTTCCGCTACATATAAATAAATATCAAATATCCGAAACACGCACAATCGCACATTTGCACGTATTTGTTACTACTACGTTGTATTTATTGCTTTTCGCCGTTGAGAGATATCTATTAGTCAGTAAAATGCAAGGCTGGACCCAAGCTGACTAGATCAAGGCATCAAACATTCAAGGTTGTCAGAAGCCAAATTAATAAAGTCCCCCTTTCCCCACGGCCTAATAGTAGGCCCAAAGTAAAATTGATAGTCGCGACTCGCGACCCGCGACCCATGCAAATTCAAAATGTTGGAACCCTTTCCAGCTTTTAGGCTCCCTTCTCATCTTCTTGTGCGAGTTGATAGGAGAAGTAGGATTTGAAACTTGAGAATTGAGAGTTGAGACGTCACTTAGAACTGGAGACTTGAGTCTTGAGAGCCTTGGGCTCATATCTGATATCACTGATCAGGTCTTTCTATTTTTATTTTTAAAAATAGCAGTCCTTCGGAAGTTCAGGTTCACAGGCTGGCTCAGACTTCACCACTTCCTTCTGCCTTTTTATTTATTTTTTTGTTTAGTTTTTATTGTCTGGATTTGAAACTTGAGTCTTCAGAGTTGAGACGTCCCTTGAGACTTCTTCAACTACACCACCTCCAGGTTCCTTATGCCTTTTTATTTATTTATTTTGGTACTGTTTTGTTTTTATAAAAAAACATTACTAGAGTGTATATTTTGAAACAAACAACAACAATTAGTCGGAAAATATTTAAATATTACTCCACCGACGATATCCGACATGTCCGGACGACAGGTATTTGTTTTATTGCCAAAAACAAAAACAAATTCAGTTTTATGTCCTCACTCTCTCACATGAATATTTTAGAATACTGACCCCTGTAAAAAGCAGTCACACAGGTATTTCCAAATGTTTCCAACTATCTATTAAAAAAATAATAGGAAGACATGTCTTTGACCTTTGTCGTTTTGCAAGGTCTTCAAAAAATATTTAGAGGTCCAGGAAAACTGGAAATTACATAGAGAATTTTTTTTCTGATACATAACAACAACTACAATTTTTTGGAGGGGTGTTCGACTTCATTTTGAATTTGGACTCATCGCCCCTTCACCTCTACAATGGAATACAGTCAATACACCTTCGAATAAGAATTAAAAAAATTGAAAAATTCTTTGACTACATTCATATAAATTTTATAGCCTCCTAAAATAAAACACCGCTGACGTCGGTGGGGAACTAAAAGCTCCGAAAGGTTGGGCGGGAAATACGTGGAATTTTGTTTTATTATTATTTTTGTTTTAAAAAACAAAACCGAATCCCAGTTCCGAGCAAACAATAGTAAATGGGCATCATCGTATCTCTCCTCGAATAGTAATTAAACTGCACATGGGCAATAATTTTATTTCGGTCAACATTTATTGCATCATTGTAGTTTTTATTTTTTTCTTCATTTTGTAATTCTCTATAGCAAGCTTCAACGTATCTCTCTTCCACTGCTGGTATCACATCGTGATTCTTGTATTGGGCCTTTCAATGTTCTTGTAAAGGGTCTCAAATGGGCATAAAAAGTGTCATTTATTTCCTTATTTGGAAAAAATATAGTTCCGAGGGACCTAATAGCTAAAGCTTTTAGTGATGAAACATAGAACTACTCACACATTCAGATTGATGAAGGTCACTTATAAAATTTTATTAATTTTCAGGTTTTTAAAAACATAGGCAAGACCAATAAAGTAAAACCGAAAACAGTAGAATAAATTTCCAATTTTGGTTTTTCATTGGCTTTAAAACAATATATATATATAAAACAAAAAAAGCAAAAGAAACAGCAATATAATTTTTTTTTTAAAAGCAAACCATACCAGAACACGAAAGAAAAAAAACAAAAGCCAACAGTAGAAAAATAAAAAATAAATTGACACTTAGCATCCTGGCAACGCCGCAACAGAGGTCAAAGGATACTAAATATTCATCATGAGTATTTATACAAATATGTACTATTTATCCGTGAGTGTGTGTAGCCGTGTGCCCGTGCCCCTTTCTTGTGTGTATAAATTCAAATAAAATTGAAGTGTACATAAAGATGCTAAATAAAATGACGTGTCAACGGCCCAACTGATGAGGCAAATATGAATTGAAACCTATATTTATTGGAGTGTTCTTCAATCATTTCAGATCCTCCTTTCAAACAAATATATTTGAAAGTATATATCTTTCTAGGGCTACAAATGAGTTGTCAGGTGGTGTTTACGAAGTTGTGGCGAATTTTAATTGAATCGAGATGAACCATTTCACCATTGTTTATTTTCACTTTCACTCAGCGATCAAATATTCATAATGCGAAATTCATCTTCTATCCCTCTAGTCTAAAAAGTTAGTTAAATAGTAAACTTTCAGTGACTCCACAATCTGCCCAGCCGAACATATATACTAATAGACAGACATACGTTTCGTGTCGATCGAATCGGGTTGAAAACTCTCGCAATATATTTCGGAATCCGTGACAAAATTAAGTTTCCAGTAGTGTTTTATCGCCCAAAAGTACGATGTTCGTAGCAGGTCATTCAGTGACAACGAAACTAATTTTTTTGTAGCAAGTCATTTAGTGACAACAAAACTAAAAGTTAAGATAATACAAGAAATAAACACCTCGTTTCGTTTTACTTTTAAATCACTGCGTGTCGCGCAGAATAGCTCATCTAGGCCCAACAATTGCTCCATTGTGTTCATGTGAATTTTTGTTTTATTTTAAACAATGTGTATATGTGGACATTGCGTCACATTGTATTTACAGACTTCACCACTACACTACTTCAACATGACACTGCCCATGTGTGCGGGGTATGATGTAGATTCATCTGCTAGAACACTCGCGAAACGTCTAGAGGATATGCAATCTCTTGAATCACCTACAGAGGATCAACAAACCATCGGTATTCTAGAAATGAACGCTACTTTCATTTCAGATCCAAGTTTTCAAACGTATCTATTTTCTTGCCAGGATCCCGACCCATGACACTTTCTTTGTGAACTTTAAAGAGAATTGATAATATTCTAGTTAACTTGGTTGAATATCAACCTCACACTCGTAATACCGACTGATCTTTAATTGATAATGACTTTCAATACGAACATACAGGCAATGGAGCGACATTAAAGGGTAGCGCAACTGACTTGACAGTACTTAATTTTAAGGTAAAGACTCTATTATGTAGAATGCTAAACCCTCTATACGCAAGCCTTCTCGTTGATATTCGGAACACGGCAGTCTACATGACGTATCAACTAAATATACAATGAACCCATTGAATAGTAAATGTATCACTTAAATGCACCTAGTGGCAATATTAATTATTACTTACCCAATACCTCATTCTTCGATTTGGATCGCAGCATACATTACCGCAATTGCATGAAAACAACGATGGATGGTCACATGTTACGCGTTGTCAAGCTTGTGTATCCGGTATGAGCCGTGAATTTTAATGTATGGATATGTGCTTCTTATCAATTATATCTGCGGGGTTGCAGGTTTCAAATTAAGTCAAAATTGAGGCTGGCAAACTCAATGAGCACCATCTTTCAAGTTAGCACAGAACAGAGAACGTATACCAATGACGATCTACATCAATTTCTCTTTCAATCAACAGCAAATACCGAGCTGGAGCCTAAAATAAAGTCACTGTCGGCAACTCAGTACGAGCACTTCTTCTCGGAGCAAGCCAGACAGTACGACGAATTGCACAGGCAAATCCATCAACTGTTGGAATTACTCGCCGACGGACCTGAAAGAAACGCTCGCGATGTATGCCAATGTCGGTATCAGTTTATTCATCATGATAGCTGTATATGCGGCTTCTCTGTTGCCAGTCGACGATTTTCAGGTCAAGAAAACAAAATTTTCGTGGAACCTAATTATACTTCATGTGTTGCATCGTTTTTGTAATCATCTACTACAGTCGGAAGCGAAACAAATGCTAGACAGAATACACAATCTTATTAACGACAGTATAGATGAGGCGTTGCAAAAGCACGGGACCGGCGCCAGCACTGGCGCGAAACGTAGAAGACAACTACCGCCTGCAGCGCACTCTATACTCAAGAAGTGGCTGTACGAGAATCAGGACTGTCCATATCCATCAGGTAGTTTCGTCACTCCTGTTTTCTTCTGCCGCGGAAAAATACTGGCTGATTTTATTACTTTAACAGCTAACATGCGAAAATGAACCCCCGGGCAAAGATGTACCTCTATATCAATACAGTTTATCTCAGTGTTCTTTATTCAATATCGCGCGCGCTGACACTACGAAATGTACGTTTCATAATTCATTTATACAATATAGATGAACAGAAGCAGCAACTTGCCGAGGAGTGCCAGCTTGAGATACAGCAAATACGGAATTGGTTCGCTAACACCAGAAATCGGAAACGCCACTTATTCGCACAGACGAAAACATAGTGGCCCTCATTGTGGAGCTTTTGGGAACGATATTCTCTTCAACTATGCACGTTATCAAAACAATCGATGTGAGGCACATGTCATATGCCGCATACTAAATATATATTGAAACACACAGGTTTGATACTATAGAGAAGATTCAGATATAGGAGCCTGATAGTGCCGAATAAATCATATTTAAGATCTAACCGTCGGCAATATACACTGTTAGCTGGATGACATAGAAACATAAACATAACAACAATCGAATTATTGTAAACGGTGTGTATATTAGAAAATCATTCAACGTTTAAAGGGCATAACAAAGAAGCGCCCGCAATTAGAGCAAGTATCGCAGCTACAATACGCCCGCTTTGCAAGTATGCCGGAGTCGCTCTTCAGTAGATTCTATTCTTGAAGACGTAATCGGATATAGTGACTAAGGGCCCCTATATCCAGGTGAGAAATCATCATTTAAATTACCTCTACGAATAATTTGATCTCCAAGAATAAGAAGGGCATAAAACAGTATTTAGGTCCAGAAGTACGAGTCAGTAATGTCGTTAAACTAGAGCATGTATGACCGGTTGTGTAAAATAATTTTAGGTACAAAGGTACGCGTCAATAATGTCGTTAAACTAAAGAATGTTTGACAGATTGAGTGATATATACAATCGAATACGTATACATTTAACTAAATAGATATTTACATATACGGATATACAGACAAACAGGCATATTTATATAAAACAAACATCTACATATGACTATATCAAATGCTTCATACCTATATATGGCCAAACTTACATAACAATATGTATATATTATCATATATATATATAATATATATGGGTGTGTGTGTGTTCACATATTTATATGAAATGTGTATATATATACTATATCCATTTACATATATACAATATACATTTACATATATAAATATATGGTATATATATACTATATCCATTTACACACACATATATATATATATATATAAATTCATATTTTTCAATACATATATCTAAATTTATATATAGATATATATATCTATATATGAATATATAATATAAACATATATATATATGGGCATAAATATAAATCTACACATTCATATATAAATATATATACATATACATCTATATATATATACAGACATATACATGTACATCTATATATATATACCTAGACATATATATACATATATCTATTATGTATATAAATATACATATTCATATATAAATATACATATTCATGTATAAATATATAATATAAACATATATATATAGGCATAAATATAAATCTACACCTACATATATATATACACATACACAGACATATACATCTATATATATATACCTAAACATATATGAATATATGTATATACATATATCTATTATGTATATAAATATACATATATATATATAAACATACATATTAAATATGTAATTAAATAAATCTATATCTATATAAATATACGTATACATGAGTGTGTACACACACACACACACACATATATATATATATATGCATACATGTTTAATATATATATATATATATATATTATTTATGCATACATGTTTATATATATATATATATATATATTTATGCATACATGTTTATATATAGATATGTATATATATTAATTTATACATTCGTATACATATGTGTGTGTACACACACACATTTATATATATATATCTATATATACTTTTTCAAAGCATTCATTCGCTGCGAATAGATAAGCGAGGACAAATATTAAGCGCAACCATAACTGCGGAATATTAATGTACCTAATTTATCAATTGATTAGAATACTGCATTCACCTGTAAGGACGATTTATGTGTTTATCTACAGTGCATAAGTAGATATTATCTGCCACCCTGTTTGTACAGAAAGAAGCTGTTGATGAACAAATATTAAGCGCAACTATAACTGCGGGATATTTATGTACCTAATTTATCAATTGATTAGAATACTGCATTCACCTATATGGACGATTTTATGTGTTTATCTACAGTGCGTAAGTAGATTTTATCCGCCACCCTGTTTCTACAGAGAGAAGCTGTTGATGGATATGTATTTATTCACAGTAGTTGTAAAAACATTAAAAATATTAAAAACTTTCAGCAGTGTGGATAAAAAAAGGGAAGAATTACTTCCGTTGAATAATCATGTGTTTACGTACTGAAGGACGAGCTGAAAAGAAATAATTCTTGCGAAAGGTAAAAATATAATCGAGAACAGACGATTTTGGCGGACATTTAGCTCACCTTACGGCTTCCATAACTCAGGACGCACTGCACACTGAAGCAATGATAGAAAACATGCATAAGGGCGCAGTACGTTCTCTCATAGCCTAAATTAAATATAAATACAAAGGGCTATGGTTCTCTCATATATATTTTGGACATAATGATTTTTTAATAAAAAATGAAGACCCAAAAAGACCCAAAAATACCCAAAAATACCCGCCCTCAAAATATCATACATATGTATTGGCATCGCCATAAACAGTGTGAAATTTTAACAAAGTGAGCATTCTCGATTGACAGCTGATAACGAACCATTTGCTTTTTTTTTTTTTGCTTCTTCTTGACAGTTTGCATTCTGCGGCGGAATGCCGGGCTGCCTTGGTCTCGGACTCTCGGTAGTTAAAAAAATACAGCCATCAAGAGTTGTGGCTTGTACTTCCACTTGGAAAATATGTATGTTAAGTGGATACTGTGTAGTGGTATTTTTTAATATTTTTTAGACTGCACAACTAGTAGTATCGAACAAACCCGATTCTGAACGGAATATAACAAGAAGTCGACGTTCGTGCAAACATGCCAGAGTACAGGATTACACTTGTGCACTTAGTTTAAACCATACACACTAAAACCCACTCGCGCACAGACTTAGGCTTGCAATACTCAGTCTTATCCCAAGCTTCTCCAAAATGACCAGCACGAGCAACTTCGCGACATACGCAACGCACGCTATCAATGCGGCGAAAGACCTCACCATCGGCTCTGGGTCACTGCGTATGACTTATGTGAACTTTGTCACAGGGCCCTGGACTCTGCTCTTGTTCCCTTTCCATGTATTGCGAGTAGCGCTGCTCCGTACGCTACTCACATACAATGGATGGACTACCAGACCTCACGCGACATCGACTATGGTATACTTCTTGGTTCTTAAGTTGCTAGTCATGTTCCCAGTTCCCACATTCCAGTCTTTGCAGAAGTCTATGCCGTGCTTGCCCGTGCCCTCTCTGAAGGAATCATGTGATCAATTCATTACATCCGTAGAGCCCCTCCTCACACCTGAGCAATTGCAGAAAACCAAAGATGACTTGCAACGCTTCCAAACGAATGGCACAGGTAAGTGCACTACGGAGCCTCACACTGCCGTATCGACGTCAGGTTTGGTGTGTTTTGATATTGAGCTGTAATACTGTATACATAGAGTTGAACAAGTCGAATGACATGGGGGAAAATCAGTTCTGTTTTTATGAAAGTGTTGTTTCCGAGAGATACCCTGTCCCAAGTATGTTGTTCTCGCTCAATCAGTACAGTGGGTGTATCCAGTTTTATTCTTTTTCCCCACAACTTTGATTGAAGTCATCTCGCTTTTACTACTCTTCAATTTTGAATAAACTGTATGCATAGTATTCCTATATACTTATTGTGCGGACTCGTCCGACTACAGCAATTTTGTGTACGCGAGCCAAACTAGATGGTCCGTTTGAGAAGCTCTTGTAAATCTTCTTCAGGCCCAATGTACTACATTTACCTGTATGTATGCAAGCTCCTAATTCGTATCTATAAACTACATTATCCCAGGACAACAACTGCAATCCACCCTGCAGTATCTGTACTGGTCTAAAGACAATTGGCTGAGTGATATTTGGCTCAGAGCTGCCTATCTTATGACCCGCGAGTTCTTACCCTGTGCGGCCAGTTGGTATTCGTCCGACCTCATGCCATACTTAAGAGAGCAACACACGAAGAATCAAGCCGAACGGTCAGCTACTTTGATATATGCAACACTGAACATTAGAGATCATGTGCTTAACAAGCGCGACTTTGAGGGCTTGTACACCGCAGTTGCAATGCCCCTATGTATGAACGGATACCAGGATACATTCGGTACTACCCGTGTGCCAAAGAAAGGCGAAGATTTCCTGGAACATCACCCTCAGTCATCCTACATCACAGTGTTGTGTCAGAACTTTGCTTTCAAGGTAGAGGTGGTACACAAAGACGGATCACGTGCGAGTGTGAAGCAACTGCAGCATCAGTTCGAGTACGTGATGGCCACCGCAAAGGCCATGAAAGAAGATGGCGTGGAGCCAAATGATGTGTGTGTGCTCACCTCACAAAATAGAGACGTCTGGGCGGATGAACGCGAGGCGCTTATCCAGTCGTCTGCAGAAAATGCGCAGAAGTTGCATACGATCGAATCGAGTGCGATTGTCCTATCTTTGGACCACGAATCTCCCGTGCCGAGGGGGGATAAGAAGAACTTGAACTTGGATGAGTACGCGACAGCTATGCAACACAATCATGGACAGAACAGATGGTTCGATAAGTCTATGAACATAATCACTTTTCCCGACGGATATGCTGCTGTCCAGTTTGAACACAGTTTTGCCGATGGATCGGTATGTATATTTGCTCAGCTTTTAACTGAGCAATTTATGTTGTTTCGATGACGTTCGTGAAAATGTATTTACATGTTTCTAAATTGGTCGAGCAGTTGATGGCAACAACATATTTTCTAGTATGTCTTGTTATTTAGAAATACAATTGAAAATTTATATTTATCCATTAATTTTTGTTTTGTTACAGGTGAACGGTCACCTTTGGGAAGCCATCCTGCTTTTGGAGGCACGCATGTACAAGCATGTATATAGCAGAGTACAACGCATCAGCGCTGAGAAGAAGAAGAAATGCCCTGTGCCAATTCACGATAAAATGTATGAATGTTGATTGCCATTACAACGTCATTGCTGCCATTTGTGCTTACATGTCATATGGTGTCTATTGCATATAAGGGTATTTAACATGTCGTTTGCGATATCTTTGAATTTAATAAGTGTTTTGGATGTTATATCGTGTATTAGAATCCCGATTAATTTATTTCGACTGATGTATCCAGATGATTTTAGCTTGCTCCCTGACGTACGTTGCTCGGGTGTCTGTAGGACGGCGCCAATGGGACACCCTAATGTAAGTCGTTCATCAATTCATATTACTTACGGTCGACTTGTCTTTCTTTCTCCCCCTACCAAATAGTGCCAAGGAGAACGCCCGCCAGACAAACAACCGGCTTGATCTACCCACAGCTATTCAATTCGATCTAACACCGCGTTCACAAAAAGCGTGCCAGGTGGCGCAGGAAACCATCAAGCGCGAATTGAAAGATGTCTCTCAGGGCTGCCTTATTAAGACTGGGCTCGGGAAAAGTCATTTCAAGAAGCTCAAGATGTCGGTATGTATCCAGTTGCGAATGAATTCTTCCCAGTGTGTAGGGTGTTCTCTATGTGCATGTTATTAGCGGTTGATATGCCGGAGGATTCGATCATAGTCTAACCTGATTCACCGTACATCCACTCATGTTCCTTGCAGCCCGATGCCTTCCTGCAAATGGCGCTCCAATTGGCGCACAGGCGTGTCATGGGCTATTATACCTTGACGTACGAACCAGTGTCCATGCGCGCATGGAGGCTGGGAAGAACCGAGACCAACCGAGTGCTGTCGAACGAGAGCAAGAAGTTCTGTGACGCGATGATCGCTCGCGAAACCAATAGGTAAGCAGACCACCAGTTTCGTCTTCATTCGTTATGGATGTGTTCAAAGTTTGATGGTTCGTTTTTTTATTGATTGAGATGTCCTTGCATGGGTTTTAGATAGTTCAAGCAAGGTTAAATCATATGTCTAACGAACTTGAATCGAATTTCTATACTCGATCAGTGCGGACGCCCCCACAAGTGCCGAAACGATAAGTCTACTGAAGGCTGCCGAGAAGAAGCACGTGAATCGTATCCGTTCGGCTATGTTTGGAAAGGGTGTCGATCGACACATTATGAGTATGAAAATTGTTGCGATGTCCCAAGGATTGGACATCAAGGACATGCTTGACGGTCCTGCCTTTACCTTGCCATGGGGTCTAGTTACGACTACGACGCCCCTGCTTTTCGGTCCCAAATACAAGCAGCTGTACTCAAGCTTGGAAGAATCTGTAGTCACTGTTGGTATGTATTCTCCTCAGTCGCCTATATATGGAACATAACGTGTATTTGCTTGCTGTGTTGTTGGCGAAGCTACTATCGTCGTTGCTGAAACGTTTGAATTACGAATACTGACAAGCACTTGCAAATTTTATTTTATAGGAGGAGGCTTTACCTCTTATCAACCAGATTCTCTTGGTATGGCGTACTTCTTCTACGATGATGGTATGTCGTTCCACACCACCGTACGAGTTGGTGATAAAATAAAGGATGCGGAAGCAACACGGCTTCAGTTCCAGGATGCCGTGGTTCAAGCCATGGATGAAATCTATGCTCTGCACAAAGAATAAGTCCAGTGAAACTCCAGTTGTTTCCAAAATTTGACATCCGTATATATATGCCAAGAATGAAAAGCTTCATTTGAGAACAATCAAAAGGGCGAGCGGGAAAGTGTGAAGTTCTGGGAACATCACGCTGCTGCTCTCTCGCAAATGCAATTAGTGTGATTGCGAAATACTCCGTTTTCCGGTAATGTAATCCGATTGTAATGGAAAAATTAAGCGACGAAAGAATTCATCAATAATTAAATGATAACAAACCAGTGCTTCTTATATACGGTCCCGGTGGACATCCAGAAAGCTCTTCCCTGTAGGAGCTGATGAGAAATTATCGACAAACATGTTGTGCCAATGCGGCCTGCTTCATATCAACGAGATACACTCCCTGCATTCGAACTTGAAATCTTTGCGATCACTTTTATGTTTGAAGTTCGCTGTATTTGTCAACTTCTCTCTTCTTCTTTGTAAGCGTGTTCATCCTGAGATACACTCCCTGCATCCAAACTTGGAATCTTTGCGATCAATGAATATGTTACATAAGAGTTCGCTATTTTTGTCAGCTTCTCCCTTTTTATTTGTACCCTTAAGCAGTGATGTAAAAATACAAAGTGTGTACGCAAGTAAATATATACTGGATGAACGCTATGTATTATCGAATTGTGAAGGAGACCTTTTTACGCTTGCTTACAACTCAGATTTTTTTAATCCCATTTATCAGTAGATTTGTCGTTCTCAAACGTCTATTTCTTTGCTTGTGAAGTAATGACCCTCGACACTCGTGAAGTTGAGAGTCGTGCAGGGTCCCTAGGGATTCTCCTAGATCCTCTTACGGGGATCACCACCCTCCACCATCCCTCTGGATGTCTCTCCCTCCGGAAGAGAGATATACGGTCCCTTGGACCGACCAAACCCCTACGGGGTAATATACATATATATACATTTATATCATAGCTACTTAGTTACCATCTTCCTCCTATAAGATATCCATATTTACCCTTCTCACATATAGATTTATCATCTCACTTATAGGGTACCCTTGTCGACCGCTATAACCAAGCATACATTATCGGCATATGCCTCCATTATTAATAGTTATTTTTGTGTGTATGTACCAACCGTAGGCAAGCGCACCATCCATCTACCTTTTTAGTTTTCCGCCTCGCTTCCGCTGGTAAGTTTGTTCAGTTGGAAGTCGGGCACCTCGTCTACCAAAGCGTGGAGCTGTTTCCATTTTCTGATTTTCTTAAAATCTACTACAGGCTCCGATTGAACCACATACACTTCCTCAAACCAAGAACAGAACCTTTCTACATCCTCAAACGTGCTATACGTTCCACAGCTCACACGAACCGTTCCTAAGTGCATGCCCTCAGCAGTATCCAGGTCATCGCCACAAGAAGTCTTCTGACGTGCAAACTTCTCTACCTTGTCTTCTCCTATCTTGAGGTACATGTCCTACAATCGAGGGTTAAGAGATCTTGTTGGCATAACATTCAGATCATCATACGTGTCTGTTGGTGGACAAAATGGCTCATACTACATACCCGCCTGAAATGGGCAATTGCACGTGGATAAATATATATGAACTTTCAAATACGCTAAGGCGCACAATGATCGACAGAAATAGTCGCTTACCACTCCACCGGGACTAAACCTGCAAAATAAGCAAATACACGCAAGTACATGCATATGTTAAGCACAGATTGCTTGACAGAGAGCGGCACTTACCACTCCACCGGGATTGCAATGCGCTCCTGTGCGCACGTGAAAGCCGGCCTCGGCAGAAGCCATTTGTATTGTGTGATAGCCTATCGGGGACGAATCGTAGTTGTATGCACTGAATGTGACTATGTGGCCCTGGTCTTGCTCGGCGTTGTCTGTTTCCCATTTGCCAAAGACTTGTACCACGGGTTGTCCATTGAAGTGTTTCAGCTTTTTGGTGGATGATGGATTGGTGAAAGTTAGTCCTTCTGCAGACATTCGTAACCGGTTTGCAAAATACGTAGCAGCATCGCATGCAAGTGACAACCAACGTAATAATACAGCGACACGGCTGTCAAGCGCAAACTGATTGAGAAGACTCTTACCTGACTTAAACGCTTATACAAATGTCTCGAGAGCGTGTGTGTATGTGCTGCAATATTATCCATCCCAAGCTCTCGCAATGCGGCGAAACCATATTTCAGCGCAGCGATGGAAAGGAAGCTCAGTGTACCGTCTTCAAAGCGAGTGGCACGTTTACGCGCAAACTGAACAAAATGCTTCTTGATGGTCGCTAGGATGACTGTGCCTCCACCTGAGTGTTAAAATTTAAGAGAGGACAGATTTGGATTAGTATAACGGCAATACACATGATTGTCAAGGCCCAGTGGAACCCAAAATGGCGATGTATGACTGCCTTTATCGCTAATCGAAGTGGCACAAGGAAATAATAAGGTCACATAGCGGGCGAGAACAACTTCTACCGTTGGCTGACATACCGAAGTACGACCGTTGTAGTAATGGAAGAGTGTCATTGCGAGCGATAAGGCAACCGAGACCAGAGGGGAAGCCAAACATTTTATAGAAAGAAACATCGACAAACGATGGTTTATGTAAACCTAGATCTAATTTTTGAGTCGGAACGAAGGCGGCGGCATCCAGTACCACTTTCCAGTCCCGCTTGCCACACATTCCTACCTGAATTCGATTGCAGGACAAAGTATGTGAGCACGTGTGCCTACAAGACTGATTGAACGTATAGCAGTGATGAGCAAGAGGCGAACATCCATCAATCAACAAAGGCGCCACTTCGGATGTTATGTTTCACAGACTTCGACGCAGATGCTAACTCGTCGATAGACAAGTAAACAGGAATTGACATATGTTTACCTTTTCGATTTTCTCAATCCAGTCCAGTGGATATTTGACACCGCAGAAGTTATCTTCGGGTGGATATGCAAATAAATTGTACGTTTTACGGTCCTCGTTCATGTATGCGTTTCCACAATGTTCATCAGACAGGTTTAACTGGTCCCAAGAACTCGGGTCCTCTGTTGGAGTTTCAGGGATAGCTGTACAAACATCAATGCATACGTGGATTATATAATAGTTGTACAAACATAAATTATAATGGCCGGACCTAGGAATTAATACCATGCATAAAGCTAACGCCAAATAACAGCAAGCAAACACGAGACAAGCACTATGCTGACGTCCTCAGATGTAGGCGAGGTGTACAGGACACATTGCACCTATCACAGAGTGAAGCAAATATGCTATCAAGCGCTGAATGTGATTCGCAATGCATACTCGATGTCACAACAGTTAATCTCGCGGGAAAGCAATAGCCGATAACATACCACCGTGATTGCACTTCTGATCTAGACAGCGCTCCACCTCCTTATCAGTCATGACTTTAATGGTCGCTTTCTTGGCATGCGCATACTCGCGTATACCTACGACACTGTTATGGTTGACATTCAAGAATGCAAACGTGGACTTCTCGGTAAAAGGAAAACACTCTCCGACAATCTTCAAAGCTCCCGTGGCACCACTTGTGAATACCACACTGTACTCTTTTTCATCGGCGTTGAAGTGGTCTAGCACGTGTTTGCGTGCTGCGTTTAGTTCGTGCTCCGTGGCTTCACTCGATGGAGAGTGCGAGTGTGAGTTGCCGAAGAGAGTAGTCTGCAGTTCTAATAGGCAGTTGCCCACTTGCGTCTCTCGGTATTGACCAGACCCCGTGTAGTCGAGATATACCTGATCGCCCATACGTTTGAAGTCCTTGGTGCGGATGTTGTAAATGGCATTCTTATAACCGTATTCTGTACAGGGAGAATGACGAATATATATACATTCATATCTCAATTCATATCATTTATATTGTAGGTTTGCGTCTAGACACCGATAACTCAACTTTCACATCTAAAAGCCAGCACTCATCAATCGGTTAGGGCAGAGTATTCAAATACAACATATTGATACACCATCTTAGCAACACAGACGGTCTATGTATATAAGCGTTTGCGTACAAGTTGACGTTCTGCGAGTAGAATTGTGTTAAAGCACTCGTGCCTACACCTGCTAATATTTGGTATATATGGCCGCATTATGCAGCGAAATTAATATACTAATGTACTCACCAGACCCATGCTCTTCCATGAATTCTGCTTTGCGCTGCTTCATGATATCTTCTGGGATGTTAAAAGCAGGTGGTGGCTTGGCCGCTGGAGCATTTCGGTTCACCCAACCTACCAGCTCAGGTGAATCTTTGTACAGCAAATTGTTTTTAATAGCGTACTCCTGTGTAATGGTAGTAAAATAGAGAATATATATCAGTATCTACTTTTAAGTTGAAGTATCTCCTATTTAGCTGTGTGACTGTGTCATGCAATTCACTACCTTTATATGTACATACTATTGTATATGAATATGGGTTGCTTGCCGACTTTCTGCAGATATGTGTCGCCCACCGCATTAGCAAACGAAATGCAACGGCCTTAGATATAGTTAAGCATCGCAAAATATACTTTTCAGAGAAAAACTAGCACATAAATGAAAACAATCCTTGCAGGTACAATCGTATAGCAACTCACCTGTACTTCGTCATAGTTTAACTGATCCTTGAATGCATGATAGAGCGTGAGCACAGATCCTGCTCGTCGCGTGGTATTGCACTGGATCACAGTAGGTCGGGGCAGGTTATCGAGTGTTTCAATAATGTCTTGAACAACATCTGCGTGACCGTAAGTGCGTTCGGACAACGCGATATTGACGAATTTAAATCCGAGATTCTTGATGGTCTGCGCATGTGAAGTGGAGCAGCATAAGTGATTAAGATTTGTACTCGTAGCAGGAAAGGAACTTCTATTGGATAGAACAGATTACGAATACAGCTGCACTTTAGTGCCAAAATTAGAATATCCGACAACAGTACAGCTAACACATGGTTAGAAGCATAAATATTATACATTGACCCAGCCAATTCCTCGGGTATATATATATATATATATATATATATATATATATAGCTGTAATTTGTACTTGTAGCTGGAAAAGTTGACGATTGTTTACAGATTTATCGATTTGTGTAGAAGATGTTTTCTGACTGCAATTCTATTTTTTAGAAACGTACAGCTATTTGCAAACTAATCCGGTGTCTACAGCAGAGCCTCCACTTCACACCAGCACGCACCTAGTGAAGAAAACCTGCAGCAAAGTACACCTTGATTTACCATTACTCCGATCTGCAACTCCAATGAAAAAGAAATAAAGACGTACCTCGACTGCACCCCGTTGCAAGGTGGGGTGCTCCTGATCATCTAAATCTTCCGGGTCTATTACCAATAGCCATGATTTAGCAGAGCAATCTGTGCGGAGCATATCGGCTTTCGCGGTGCCGTCACTGGCAACTAGAATCATGTTGCCATCATCGCACTCAAACTGGGTTCTCTCTTCGTTGACCATAGTGTACAAAAATGGCTGAGTGACCCAAAATATGTTCAATATAAAATATATCAATTTACTAGGCGGGAAGCGATTTAAAAGGTAAATATCAAGTATTTTATGGACTATATATATATGTAAGTTTGAATGTGATGGTTTATGATTGAAATATCTATTTATTATAGTAATTTTATACTGGCATTTATACCTAAATAGCAGTAGCACCTAATTACAATGATACCAGACTACCAGTGCCCGAAGCCCTATATTATAGTCAGGAATAGCCTCTGCACTTCATTTTTTTAATAAATTAGACCTCAGTTGACGAATGACGATTTGACTCTGTTGTAGACCCTACAAACGTATGTAGGGTTTTTAAGTTTTTAGATCGTCCTTTGTGCAATAATAAATGTGCATAGCTGTTTGATTTAGGAGGCTATGGCCTATGCTTTGTGCTGGTAAGGTAACCATACAAGTAACGCCATACCCAAATCTAATTGGTGTCGAATGCTCGTATTTTAATGAGCATTTCTACTCCGAGTTCTGCTCAAGTCTTCGCCAGAGTAGTAAATAACGCTATCAGTTCGACTTTGCTCACGCTGATTAACGATTCTACCGGTAAAATATTTGATACAACTGTATGTAAATAGTAAATACTATAAAATACATATTGCTTGATTTTTGTGGATCTACATTGGCTCTTGGGACTTGCCTGTGTCACTTCACTTCTTGTGACCATGATGCTTGAGCTACAATTATATATATATATATTGGACCCGGATCTGTACTCTAACTCTGTAGCCTGTTTAAAAAAAATATTCTGTGTTTAAGCGGCCGAGCGCTGTAGATACGACCAAACAGCCTGGTAAACGACGACGACGGAAACCGCTGAAAGAGTTAAATAAAACCCCAACGTAGTAATATAGAAAAATTCATGTATCACGTAAACCGTGTCATTTACCAGGGGAGTGGAATAGCTATGCTAATCCTGTACTCTCTCTCAATAGAGAGAGAGAGATTTTGTGGGAGAGAGCTAAAAAAAACTTGGTTCAATTGAACAAAGGCGTTGTTCCACCTCCTGCTAAGCGCCAGCACATGCGCTTCCCCCACTTTATATATATATATATATATATATATATTTGCGGAATTCGGGCGGCTACTAGTCGCCATGAGATTTGAAAGTCTGATACCAAGTGTTCTAATTCAAAATCTCAGCTCCCTTCGGAAGACGAGAAATTGTTCTTCGCACAGATATCTGGGGGATTTCCCAAGGGTCGTGTAGTCATGTCGAGTTATAAATTATTGTTCAAGCTACCGTACTGGTACATAAACAGTGTCTCGCGCCCATACGTAAACCTGACTATCAGGCATCCAGAATCACGACCTAGTAGGCTAAATCGCAGTAAAGCCTTTCAGGCTTAAAAAACACTGTAGAACCATTGTTTCCCGATAGTACTCAATAGCGGAGAGTATATATCGTTATTTCAAGGAAGCGACTTATGCTTGTATCAACATAGCTTCTGTCGTGGTCATTGTACTTAATCGGATCTACACATACTATAGTCTTGGTCTTGAACCGATTGACTTGACAGTGATATTTTTATGTTTCTGTAGATTTATAGCGATCGGAAGAAAGAAAGTTAATTCCGAAATCATGCCTGTGAACTTGTGAAGTGTGGATGTAATAATCAATGTAACCAATTATGAATGTTAAAAATGTATAAAAAATATATATATAGAAGGCTTTGTGATACAAATATTTTTACCCAAGTAAACATCGTGGACCTGTCTGAGGAGTCTGAAGGTGCTTTCATCTGTGTAAATATTTCGTTGTTTTTGTTTGGAAACAAATATAAGTAGGCTACATATATATGCTTCCTATTTTGAATTTTAGGGTTTATAAATACAAAATGAAA